TTGCATCCCTATTGTGTAGTATTGTGCAAAGGCCTTGTTCTACCACACAACTGTATGTAATGGCAGAAATGTAAAATCAGGCCAAAATGGGTAAATTATTTTATTATTGGTTGTTTGCGATCAGAAGAGGGCTTCCTGCACTGATTACAGTCTCAGTCCATCTCAGTGAGCTGACAACCCTGCAGCATGCAAGTCGCAGGTTTGATTCCCTACCTTGGTGATGCGTGGGTGGCTGCAGCGCAGGTTGTGTCGGGTGTAGTGCATCCAGTTCTGTTCGGGGGACGGGCAGTGCTGTCGGAGGAGGCACTTCCTGCTTTCGGTGCACCACCCGCACTCGAAGGCAGTTGGAGCTTTGAGGCACTGACCACAGCTGGAGCGCTGAGCCTCACACTTGTACAGCAACGCTGACAAACAGCACACGTTTGATCAGACAGCAGCCAAACACGGCGTATCACAGACGGAAGAGTCGCATGTGCATTTTTGCTACTGTCAGCATGAAGATATCATGAGGTGACTTTTCACAAAGCAGAAAGTTTAAGAAAAATCTGTTGATTATTTTTGCCTTTTGCCATTTAGTCCCATAACTTTATCCAAGTCTCACAGTTTACTCAGTTTGTTGGGGATGTGGTGTGATCACAGTCACTGTGGTGGGCCCACCGAGGGGTTAACCCGTCCCACTGGAGGAATTTTCAAAGAAACTTGCAGATAAATAAAGCAGGCTTTTTGGGATTTTGTCACAATCATTAAGAAAAGACGGATTGATCCGAATGGTTTTCCAAACGTTTAACTTCATCCAAGCCAGAGGTCTAAATCATCTGCAGGTTTATGAGCTTTTAATGATTCAGACAATAATCTATTCCAAACTGAAAGATGTTAGGCTGAGAAATAATGACAGTTTTCTTTCCACAAAGTTACCAAACTAAGTGCACATACTCTCATAATACATAAATGATACTTATTTTTCTTCCTCAGGCTATTTATCATGTTTGGTAAAACTTTGCTTCATTAAATGTGAGAGTTGAGTGTGAAGTTTAAAAATAGCTTATAGCAACATTGTTTTACTGATTTGGTCCCCTTGAGATCAATTTGTTATATACGTAGCCCATGATATAAAATGAGTTTGACACCTGTGCTATAAATACTCAAACTCTGTCCCGACAATCAGCAGCAATCAGCTGCTCGAAACTGCTAAAATTACACGATGGCCCCAAAGCAAGAAAACACTGGAAGAAAATGAATGTTTGCAGCAACGAGTGGAAGTTCAGGTCTGCAAGCTCAGAGTTTGACTGATGACCTTCAGGAAGCAAACTCTGGAGCCGTGTCGCTCTGTTCTGCTAAGCAGCTAACCTGCATCGATGCAAGCTTCATGGAAGAACAAATCAAACATCTAAAGGGATTAAATGCATGTTTGGAACAACTCCTAGAAGGCAAATAGAAATGTTTTGCTTCACAGAAGTCTTCTTCTAAGTATTCAGCATGGCAGTGGATCGATCATGCTTTAGGCCTGTGCTGCAGACACTGGGAATGTTTCACTGGCAAAACCATGAAAGGACCAAATTCCAGAAGCAAATATTACAAAAAGCTATGAAGAAAAAAAATTATGAGATTTATAGGATGGAAATATTTCCAAATCAATGGGATACCTCAAGAGAGCCACAAAGCCCCTGCAAAGCCCCCGCTCACACCCAGCGTTAAATATCTCTAAGAGCAAATAGGAAGAATAACCCAAAATCCTGAGCTACAAAACGCCTTGAAAACCTTTCATTTGTGTCAATATGGGCTTTAAATATTGAGCAGTTAAACATTTTTTATTCTTTCTGTTTTTATTTACGACAAACAGAAACGCACACTTTTGTATGTTTCATTTAAATAAACGTTATGTTTATATTTACTGATGGTGTCTCATTTGTTTCATATTCACCATACAAACTAAAAATTAAACTAGACTGATTATAAAACAATCAAAGTTGATAAAAGCTGGGTCTATTCTGACGGAGACAAAGTCCTAATCCACTCACAGATTTCTGAAGACGAGCAGTTTGATTAGCAGGTTTTACCTTTCATAGACGCGGGCTTGTCGATGAAGAAATCTCCGTCCCAGACAATGGAGAAATCCACCGGGAGATCGCCAGCCTCGTCCCCTTCATACCAATACTGCAGAGACACAGAGGGGGAGTAATTTAAGTATGGCACGTTTTAATTGGGAAACGGAAAATTTGATTCTGTGTTAATTAACGGGAAGCAGCAGGAACGAATTTTAATTAAAGGAGGAGAAGAACAAATCGATGTAGAGAAGAGAGAAGAACAAAAAACAATGCAAATGATTGCAGATGAAATATACTCATAAATGCAAACTGAAGCCAGCGTTCAATAAGCACACTGGCAACTGTAATAATATGAGTACAGCTGATATTCACACGAGTGTCAGTGCAGTCAGTATTCCTGTCTCACTCCAGCAGTCAGACAAACATCAAAACCCTCCTGCTCCAAAAACAACTCTGAACCATCAAAGCCTGAACTCCACAGACCTCCGGAGGCACCGAGGTTTTAGAGACTTTACAGTTAGTCCTGGATGTTATCATGTGAGGCCACCATGGACTACATGACTTTTCTTTTCCTCAGCACATCTCACAGAAGTTCAATCAGACTGAAAGGCTGAGGCAGCACCTTTGACTCCTTGTCATGTTCGCTGAGAGCCCCATCCTGCTGAAAGAGACCACTGCCATCAGGGAGCGCCAATGGAGGGTTGGCACATGTTAAACAGTCTGCAGACTTTTCAGGGTCTAAAAAAATGTCCGGTGTGCCAGATTGATCCCTGTGACGCTACACTAGTGACCAAAGCAACGCACAACAGGAAACTTGCTTTGCATGTAGACTTTAAGTAATTAAGTTTAATTAAGTAACAGTAATGGCAAATACCACACAGCAGACAGATATCCATCTTCAGGGATCTGAGCAGACATGTGCCTGAGACAGGATAGCCATTAGAGAAGATGAATGCAGGCCCTAAGTATTGCTTAACTGCAGTCATTGTTTAGGTAAGTGGTGCGCATCACAGCGACATCCATTTAAATAGCTGGAAGCCTTTTAAAAAAATCTTAAATGTGCTCTTAATTATGTCCGTGGTACTGAGGTTGTGGCAGATTGCAAGTACGTAACAATATTACTGAAAATAACACATTTTGTAAAGGCGCTGCAGCAGCATATGGCGAAAGTCCCACAGCTAATGTTTCTACAGCCGGCGTTACTTCAGGTAAGATCTGTACAGTTTCTCTTCAGAGAAATTGAGGACAGATGGTGCTGCTTTAAAGAAAAAGATGGAAAATGGACACACACACACACAGACACACACATACTGGATCGGTGTTGTCATGGCGGCTGCAGGTCTCTATGGTAACCAACAAAACACAGTCAAAGAAACAACATTATGGACTTAGAGCTGATAGGAACCTGATCTACCTGCCGGTGTCGTCTGAGATAAACAGTGGGGTGTTAATGGAACAAAAATCTAAAAAATATAACCTCTGTGAGCGTGAGTGTGTGTGTGTGTTGAACAATACACTTCATCTCGCATGCTGCTGAAAAGACAGAGAGGCTGTGTCCTGAATATGTCAGCTCGACTCCAAAGGCACCAGATAATCTGACGTCACACAGCCGCACACAGCCGGTGAAACCGAAGTCGGGTTTTCAGAAAGATTGAAAATCAATGTGTCTTAATGACTGTGGTCTGCTGCTCATTTCATTAACTTACACACACACACACACGCACACACACACACACACACACACACACACAGATTAATTAAGATGTGGCAGCTCTATAATCTTACTACAGCAAAAACATCTACTGTAAAAAAAACCTCCTGTATGACACTACAGGACAGAGTCTGCTGCACACACACACACACACACACACACACACACACACACACACACACACACACACACACACAAAAATTAACAAATTTCATTAAGTCAAAACGGGTTCAGGTCAATATTTCATCCTCAGCAAAAATACTTCACCATCCAACCACAGTTTTACAGCTTTTTACCTCACACACACACACACACACACACACACACACACACACACACACACACACACACACGGAAGCAGACACAGGGCTGTAATTAATAAAGCACTGATATTAAAATGATCTTTTCTGCAGAGCTGCAAGAACGGCCTCATTGTTCATAAGTGCGAGCACTTTTGTGTCTTTGTGACGACTGAATTGAATTTCAGACCTCGTGAGGACGAGAAAGGATTTTGTGGAAAGTAAAGTTCCATTTGGAAAGTGAAAATTATCAAAATAAATTACCAAAAATTGAGGACATTTAGTTCACAATGAGGCCATTATAAGCCCTACGTCCCCTCTAAAGGAGCATTTTCTGTAAAAAATGAAGAATTTTGCTTTGTAAAACAGAAAATGTGGACATTTATTGAAAGTTAGAAGCGCTTTTAAAACAAGTGCATTTCAGGAAATTGGAGATATTTGGACAAATACAGCATTTTTTTAAAGAAAACCTTATTTTTGGAAAAGATACATTTTCAAAAAATGTTGGTATTTTCCTAGAATATCCTCATATCTAGTAGTTAGTGGGGTTAGGTTCATTGGTGACTCTAAATTGCCCACAGGTGTGATTGTGGGTGTAATTGGTGGTACCCCACCTCTCACCCTGTGAAAGCTGGGATAGGCTCCAGCCCCCCCGTGACCCTGAAAAGGATAAGTGGAAGAGATTGGATGGATGGATCCTCATATTTAGTGGGACATTAGAGAAAAGTGATAGTTTTCTGAAGGTGACGGCATTTTGGAATTCATCCTTTGTGTAAGACAATTTGGTTACACATTTTGCAAAAATTTAGAAAAGTGGGGATATTTTTGAATGTATTTAGCTTTTAAAATGTGTCCTTTGTAGAGAAGTAGTAGATTTTTCTATCACATGGGCACATTTTGGAAAAGTGGAGATAATTTGGGAAAGTGAATCAATGCCGAGCAAAGATTTTTGGGGGAAAATTTTGTTGGACATTTTATGCAAATGTAGAAATTTTGGAAAAGTAGCAGCTTTTAGTGAAGTTGGCATATTTTTCAAGAGTACATTTTTAGAAAATTATCATTTCTGAATGTGTTGTTTTTACCAAAGTAGGACATTTTTGTTAAAATGTGGATATTTACGGGAAATATTTTGGAAAATTGAGTCTAAAAATACTTCAAAGGCACCAAAAGCAGGTTGTAAACATGTTTACTTCTGCTGTAAAAATGGGAATTTCAACCCAAGAGTCTGTGGGCACAGACTGGAGCGAGTGGCCGTCAGAGGAACTGCAGTTTTTGTCTCATTGGCTTCATTTTTCAGCCTGGGAGGCTAGATTAGATTCAGGTTTAGATTGCAATGGTTAAGATAAGAAGCCCTTGAATACAGTGAGAGTCCTCGCAAAGACATAAGTACATTGAGTGTGTTAAAGTGATGACCACACAGCTGAAATATGTGAAATACCAAGACCAATTGAGAGACAGAGAGAGAGAGATGTGTGTGTCTAATGTGCTGATTTTCCATTAAAAGCAGCCAGCTGAGCCCAAGAGAGCAGCATCATAAGTCATTGTAACACACACACACTCTCACACACACAGAGGCAGGCAGGATAAGAAATGAAAGGAGAAAGTGCTGTTGAACACACACTGGCGCCACAGATGACAATCACAGGCGATGCTGGTGAACGCAGCTCTTATCTGCAGCTCGTACAGTGGCAGAGCTCCAACCTGTCACATCTGACGCTCACAAACACTCCTGATCTCACACTCACGCCACAACTGAGCCTCCAAGAGGAGGCACAAACACGACTACTCAAGCATCAATACCCAAGCACCAAAGTCACTACATTTTGAGCATAAAACATGAAAACCGTGTGCATTTAAGCCATTTGTTGCATCGCTTTTTTAGCTGGGCATTCAACTGTAATGTGTTTGTGCCCCTGGGTATGAACATTTTTAAATAGCGTTATATTCACCGAGTATAGGCATAGAAAGAACAATGACCTGCCCTTTCAGAGCACACCTGTATTCATATCCATCCAAAAAAGCCTCTATGCCAATTTTATTTGGAGTCTGAAGTCAGATGAAGGCCCTCACAGCACAATTGTAACATCTGGACCTATAATTTGTTTTGCAAATGTGCCACCACTCCACTAACAAATATGCGTTTTGTAAGACACACACAGGCTAGTAGCTGCTTGTGTGTGTATGCTAATGCTAGCATAAGCTAACTTCTACCAAAAGATGAGGCTGAGGATTGTTGGCATATCCGGTCTAGCTGAAACCATAAGAGTGGTCGTCTTTTCTCTTCTCTTTAGGTGGTGGGACGTCTGTACTTGTGGTTTCCTCCACACATGAAAGTGATCTGTTCCCCCCTCTCATTAGCTTCCTCACTGTTAAGCACAGTCTTTGATGTGTCACACTCCCATAATTTGAACCATCCAGCAGCTGGTTTGAGGCTCCCTTTAGTCAAAAGGAATTTTCCAACCTTAATTTTTTAATTTACCTGGTGGGCAGAGCGCTTCTGCAGGGCTGTTCTTTGTCACCAAGGACCAAGTAATTCTGCTCATAACTTTTATGGATATAGTTTCCAAGTGCAGCCAATGGGTAAAGGGTGTAAGCTTCATTGGCCACAGGATCACATTTCTGCTCGTGTCTGATGGTGCGGTCGTGCTGGTTTCAACAAACAATGATCTGTGACTCACACTCGCTGTTTGGGATTAGAATTAGCAAGTCTGAGGTCATGGTTCTCAGTCAGACGAGGGCGGAGGGCTCACTCTGGGTTCGGAGTGAGTTGTTGCCCCAAGTGGAGAAGTTCTAAGTATTTCGGGAACTTTTTCAGGAACTTCACAAGTGAAGGAAGGAGAGAGCTGAAGATTGAAAGATGGACTGGTTCAGAGTATCGAGTGGAAACTTTCTGCTGTGGTAAAGGGAGGGCTGAGTGCAAAAGCAACGCTCAATGTATCCGGTTGATTGATGAGTCTACCCTCAGCTATGGTCGAGAGTTGTGGGTAGTAACTAAAAGAAGGGAGACTGTGGCAGAAATGAGCTTCCTCTAAAGGGTGGCCAGACTCTCCGTTAGAAATAAAATGAGGAGTTCGGCCATTCAGGAGGAACTCTACTTTT